GAGAATAACAAATAAGTACTAAAGTTTGAAATCAAGTACAGACATAATGGAAAGCAGAATATAAAGTCTTCCCAAGTCTATGAAAGCTCTCAAAAAGATACACTGGCTCAATCCTATGTTTTGATTTTATTTTTTAATAGCATCATCGATGTCAGATGAAAAGTTAATTCCCAGTAAAATTCCAGTACTTTGAAACCAAGATAAAAAAAAAAAAAAAAAGATGGTGACGGGGCTAGAAGTACAGGGAGGGAGGGGAGAAAAACATCAAAAGGAAAAAGTATTCTGTAAGTCACCTTGGACCATGTCAGCGGTCTCCTTATAGCATATCAGCATACAGAATTGTTCTAGAGACACCAAAGGCTTTTGCCAGTAGACAGACATTTAAAAAGATGGATAAGTTCAGGCTTTCCAATCTTCTTATATCAAAAAAATAAAATACATAAATATGCTTTAGCTAGCCCAGACAAAAAAGGAGCCTCAACGTGAGCATGAGTTTTACAGTACAACAAGTTAATACTCTGAGGGGGCATCTTCTGAAGTCTTGATTCAGATCAAATTTAAATACAATCCCCCTAAGGTGTCTCTGAAATGGGAAGATCAGCCAACACTAAAACCTCTATGATCCTCTAAACCAATACAATTATGGAAAGAACAAAGTTAAGATCTAACCTGAACACACCAAGATACTGTTTCTTCCTCAGCTACCAGAAAGCAAACCATTCTACAGATCACAAGCTAGTTTGGTGATGCATGAAACACTAGAGAACACACACTTGAAACCAGCAGCTTTGTAGGAATAACTTTTCATTCAGTATTAGTATCTCCTACACATACACAGCCAAGGTTGGACAAGAGAACTTATCTTCCACAAACACAGCAGACATCCAAGTTATGCTGCTGGCAAAAGATCACCTGAGATATCATGTACAAGACTTTTCTCCTTATTTACTCCTGAAAATATAAGAAACTCAGTTAACTGCACTCCCAAAATTTGTAAATTTCCAAAGCATTTCTGCATCTGATGCTTTCCACAAGTGTTTGCATACATTCCTGGACCTTAATCGTAAAAATATGCAAATGAGCAAGAAATGGGAGACAAGTAAGATTGAAAACATGTTACTGTATCCTCCAGAATAGTGAGTTGATTTCTGGAAAATAATTTTCAGAAGAGAGTAAAAACAAAACAAAACAAACAAAAAAAAAAAACAAACAAAAAAAAAAAAACCCAAAAAAAAAGCGAAAGCTCACCAGCAAGAAAGAAAAGTCCTTTTAAAAATTGATTACAACTGAGATAGTTCAAAAAAAAAAAAAAAAACAACACAAAAACACACCAAAAAACCCACCAAAAACCAACAAAAAACAAAAAAAAACCCACCAAAAAAACCACAAAGAACCACAAACAAAAAAACACAAATCAAAAACACAAACAAACCACCAAAACAGACTAATAAAAGAAGTTTGAAATTACAGTAATTATCCTTTTCTAGTCCAGAAGAGTTTTCAATAGATCTGAGGGACAAAACACTGCAAGAGTGCTCTCTTACTTTTGCTATACATTAACTGAGGCTAAGGGGTGTGGACACCATGATTATAAAATTAAGATTAGACATTTATACTGAAAACAAATCATGTTAAAATACCTAATCATATTTAAAAAAATCTTACAGCAGGCTTAGAGAGTTTCATTTAACAAAAGCATGCAAAACTTCAAAGCAGAACCAAAACTAACTGCTAGTGTTAGAAATTTCCAATGGAAAATGTCCTATGACTGTCCATTACTCCAATACTGTTTTCTACTACTAAAGAAATAGTCTCTGACTTAAGAACTGCAGTTCCTCTCTCCTGATTGATGTTTACAATTACAATGTCATCCAAAGAATGCTAACAATATAAAAGTTCTCATAATGAAGAGTACTAATAATATCACCATGTAGTGAGCAATATTTATGCTTAGCCCTTGTAGCTATGGAGCTAGGCTCATGAAAGTTTGATTCTTTAAATATATAAGATTTTCAGACTCCAGGACTGCTTTCACAAATTAGATCCCATACTTGTAAAAAGACACTTAATCTTCCCCTTGCTTTCACTAAAAAATCCCAAATATCTCAGCATTCAGACAGTATTTGCTGAGACTGTTAGAACACAAAATATATTAATTCTTTTCCAATACAACAGTTGAGTTTATCTTCAGAGAAAAAATTTAGTAACACTGATTACTATATTATGTAATCCCATTTTTGCACCTGCTTTTTGGGCTTTGGGTTTTGTTGTTGTTTGCTTGTTTTTAAAAATATTTGACCTTCCTATGTCTCCTTTAAGTATTAAGAACTAACATGTTTAGATACCCAAGTTTAATCAGCAAAAGTGTGAGATGACATTTAAATGGTACCACGTTGCATTTTAGAGAAAGTAGCAAGTGAAAGACTTATCAAGACTAATCATACTATTAGAAATAGCCACACTGCTTTTAAATCAAGCATTCTTTTTCAAGCATACTAATATTTCTGTATAGCTTTTGCATTTAAGAACAAAGCAAAATTCTAACTGCATACTTATCATACTTAAAATTATATTCTCGCATCAATAAAATTCAGAGCAGGAGAAACTATTATATTTGAGTGGGCCAAAGTACATACACAAATCAAAGTACATACACAAACCAGACATACTCTTGCTCTCCAGTTAGCTGATTTATAGCAGATTTTGTTTGTTTGTTTTTGTGGGTTTTTTTTTTTTTAGTACTATTCTAAACAATTCTGTCACATTTTAGCCAAATGTAGCACACTGTACCAAAACTGAGAGCGACTGAGCAAGAAACTGTTACCACACGGAAACAAATGGTTGTAGCTCCAACCATTTAATTCTTATGCTACAAGAAGTGCTACTGAAACAAACAGTGTCATTCGGAAGCACTCATGAATACATGGTATTAAATGTGTAATATTACACTGCCGCGACCTTAGAACGAGCAGCGAGCCACCGCCTCCTTAGCACAACAGCAAGGTGCAGATCTGGATTTCCCGCAGCACCTGACATCGCAGGTGGCTAGCAGTTCTTAAGAAAATAGTTTTTCCTGGATTAAAGTGAGAATGTTAAAACATTAAGCAGTGCAAATAATAGTGATTTAAACTCCTGACTCAACACCCCTAGTATAACACTCAACTGTGGTACATTGACTACGTTTTCTTCACATATTTAGCAGCAAGGAGAAACATAATACGGAACTGACACCCCTCTTAGGAACATTCACAGTCATACTTCAGAGCTATTTAAATTTCTTCCAAAAGATTTAAACAAAGGAAAAAAGTAGCCATTATGACCAAGTTTTCTAGTGTGCCTAAAAGCTTAAATAAAAGACACAGCATCTATTCTGCTCTCTACAGGCAATACCTGTTACTCATGAGTAACACAGAGGTATGCCTTGGAGCACTAAGCATCATAAAAACAAATTCCGTGCTGTAAAACATACAACAGACCTATAAAAGTATCTACTGCTAGCTCTTACCCCATCAGGAAGACCAAAGAAATCTAATTTAAAATCCATCGGCAATGACACCTACTGTAAGGGAAAAGATTGATGACTCAGGCTTACATCTGCCCTTCATACTCCTCAAATTCTCTCACTGATCTCACAACACCACTAGGCTTACAAAAGCATCCTTGGAGTGGAAAGACATATAAGAAATCATACCAACACACTTCTTTTGCAACATCAGTTTGTAATTAATTTTTTTAATAGACTCAGCACCAGGGCAACATTCCCGGCCAAGCAAACTACTGACCTACAGAAGAAGCCTCAACTTCTCAAGAAAGGTTGTTCTTTTAAGATTACCCTTAAAGTTGCGCGAGTTACCGGCAGGCCACTAATTCCCCATGTAATCTTCGCCTTTTAAACAGCAGACAAAGGTCTACCTGCTACAGATTAACCTCCTCCGCAGCCCGAGCGCTCGGGAACGCACGCGATTAATGCTTCTCCTCCCGCCGGCCCTTTGACATTCAGGGGCGCCCGGGGACCGAGCGGCGACCCTCGGGCTGCCGCGCCGGGCACAGGCGCCCGTACGAGTTTCGACACCGCACACCGGCGGCAGTGGGGGACATACAACACGCCTGATTAAATCCGACAGCTAAAAGCCATTCCAGGCTGTTTCTACCCACGGCGAAGCCCGGGCCGGGGGGGGCGGTGAGGAAGCGCTGACTGTCCTTGATGTATTCCGGTCCGATCCCCGGATCCCCACAGCACCGGCGGGACGCGCATCACCGGCGCTGCCCGGGACGGCACCCGGGGCAGGCGGCGGCTGGGGGATACTCGCGCCCCGCTTCAGGGGGAAGGGAGGATCGAGCCGGGGACGAGCCGGGCTGCGGGGCCGGGACGGCCGGAGCGGGTCGGAGCCCGAGCGGGATGCGGCCCGGGGGCGCGCGGCGCCAGCGGTACCTGATGATGTCGTCCTGGTGCCCCAGGTAGAATTTCTGCCGGTGCTCCCGGGGGCTGTAGACCACGCCGACCCCCGCCACGAAGTAGACTATCTCTTTGGCGGCCGTGTAGTAGAGGTTGTTGCGGCACTGATGACCCCGGTAGCCGTAGACCCATTCCAGCCGCAGGTGGCAGCTCGGCGCGCTCCGGTCAGCCATGTCCACCCGCCCCCGCCAGCCGGGTACGGCTCGCTCCCGCCGGAGACCCCGCGGGAAGGGGGCGATGGGCCGGCCGCCCCCTCCGCTCGGCTGGGTGCCCGCCGCGCTAATCCCTGCCCGCCGACATGGATGCCCGCCGCCGCCGCTCGTCCGCCGCCGCCGCCTCACAGAGGGCGCCGCCGCCCGAGCGCGCCTCGCCGCCCCGCGCCGCCAGACATGGCTGCGCTGAGACACCGCCGGGACGCGGAGCGAGGGCGCGGCGCCGCTCCGGCCCCCCCGCGCCCCGATGCGCCTGCGCCGAGGGCGGCGCCGTCAGCGGCCGGGCGGGCCCGGCGGGCCGCAGGGGGCCCGGGCGGCGGGGACGGCGCTGAGACCCGGCGGGCACCGAGCGGGGACCGGCCACCGAGCGGGCAGACGGGCGGGAGTACGCTTCACCACCGCGCGTTGTGGCGTGTCGCAGGGCTTTTCTAGATTTACCTTTTCTTTTTTTTTTTTTTCCCCTTTTTTTCCCTTCTCAAGCGAGGCTGCGTCTGCTCCCCCTTCCCCAAGTTGAGGTGGGTTTTTGTTTTTACTGCCCCTTCGGGGAACATCTCCGCCCCCTGCCTTTCCCCCGACGCACGGCCGCCGGCTCTCGGCAGCCGCTGGGGCTGGAAGGGTCCCAGCCCCCTCTCAGCTCCCCCTCCCCGCTCTCACTGGGGACCGGCGGCGCGCCAGCTCCTGCCATCCGAGAAGAAAATGTCAACTGTAATTTTTAATGACGAGTAGTTAACCCTTTCAGCCCACCGCCTGAGTCACGCACCACACAAAAGTTACTTCCCTTTCAAGCGCTAATTTCCCCATACACAACTTTTCAGCCTCAGTTCTCAAAGCGTTTTACACGGCAGTCGTCACTTTCCGACCTCACCGACGTGGAAGCGACTTCTCCGTGCTGCACGGGCGACAGCGCCCGGGAACCCCCTCGCCACGTCCAGAGTTCTGCTCAGGAAAACGTGCTTCCCCCCAGCTTGGTCACTCGACAGAGTACCGCGCTGGCTAAATAAATGTGCAGTACATGAACATGCGAACAGCTTTGTGCTGTAGAGTTGGATTCTGTTCTAAAAGCTCCTGGGTAACTGTGTGGTTTGACAATTTAAAAGAAACCAAATCTTTTCCCTATTACTTTCGGTACAGGTTTGACGTTCTAAGGGTATTTAGTTTATTAGGATTTATTATTAAATCTACATTTCTTTATCTTCTTTTGCTCTTTTACTATATTATTTTTTATATTGACTGCTCTCCCACAAAATAATTACTTTTAACTAGTTAGTTTGTATTAGAGACATTTTTCTGCACTACCATATTTTCATTTTAATTAGAGGGTGTTTTTTCTCTTAAATCTTTCTTGCATAAACTTAATATTTTATTAGTCCTTTCATTGCTTTAGAAAAAAATAATTATTTTTTTAAATGCATACATTTAAGCATTCCAGTCAATTAACTTTATATTAACAGTGTAAAACATTGAGAGAGAATATTTTTCTCAAACTCTTACAATGACAGTGTTTGTGATACCAGGCTTAGATGCAGCTTTCAGTCCCACACGTTTAATGAAAACAACATAGAATGGAAGAGAAATCTGCAGAGAAATTAATATAGCCTGAAACTTACACCAAAGGAAACTTAGCCTTCCACAAAACATATGACTTTATGAATTAAAAAAAAAGGACTTTAATCCCTAATCAGGACAAAAATTTATATTAACTAAAATAAATCTTACTCTCAGAAAATCATAAGCAGTTTTTTCTCTTTCTATTTGCTTCCTAAACAGCTGGAGCACCTTGGAACTTGGAGCGCTGTAGTTTCTCTGGAAGTTTCAGGAGAGGTAGTAGCCGGAGAAATGGACTGGACGCTTGTCTTAGAACTGCAAAATGTATTATTCTTTCTAATCAGATGTTAACTCTGCATGGCTGCTGTGTGTTGCTATCCTATGGGAAAGGTGCTTAAAGAAAAAGTCTAATATGATGCCTAATCTCATTCTGGAAAGTGGATTGATTATCAGCAGACATAGGCACCTGATATATTTTACTTCTGACGTTGCAAAAGCTCATCTGAAAGTAGGAGTATTTTTACGGTATAAATTAAGAATATATTTATTTTCTATTTACTGCCTATATAACGTATATTTAAACATGAATGTAAAAAACCCATAAATATAGTTATGGTCTTTGCTTTCTTCTAGTCTACAAATACATATTTTTCTTAGATTATTACTTAAAGTGAAATTCTGAATCTCCTGAGATCAATACTAATGTGCAGCATTAACTTCAGTGAAACTAAATTTGTTAATCTTGTTGTCTTACTTGCAACTCAGAAATTAGAATAAGAGAGTGAACAGGCTGTTTTCAGTCACCTTTTTCAAAACTAAAACCGAAGAGAGAGAAAAAAACTCCAGCAACCAGGAAGAAAATTTAATAGGTAACAATATTGTCTCTAACTGGAAGTTGCAGATCATATTTTGTGTAATGAACAGAAGAACCCACATCTGTACTCAGAAAAACCACATACATGCAGTGTGAGGAGGGCAACAGCTGCACATCACATGCACCACACAAACAGCCAGCATTTTCTTTTGATTTTTCAGGAATTTACTACCACCTCTAAAATAGGGCAATGCCTGAGAGAAAATTACAAGAGCAAACCTATTCATTGTCATAGTTTACTAACCTTATGCTGATGCACAAGGGGTGCAAGTGGAATTTCACACACTTGGCATCTATTCTTGACAGGAATAGGAAGCAGCATAGTGTAACAACCTGTACCTTTTTCCTTGCTCTTTCTAGGGTTCCCACTTGAACACACATCATTCCTTTGGCCTCTGGATGTCTCCACCCATACCACTCACTCATAGTGGGCAGTCAACGCTTTGGGAACCACAAGGCCCCATAGTATCCATCCATCAATGTGGCATTCCTGTATACGTTGCGCGCTTACCCAAGAACCCAGACACCAGTCCTTGCTGTTTCTCTTTCTTGGCAGCTGCAGAAACTGAGCGCGGCAAGACCTTTCTGTTCTGGAGCAGAGGGAGCAGGGGGCTGTTCTGGAGCAGGGAGCCACTCTGGAGCAGAGACCCATTCTGGAGCAGGGGGCTGTTCTGGAGCAGGGAGCCGCTCTGGAGCAGGAAGCCGCTCTGGTGCAGGGAGCTGTTCTGGTGCAGGGGACTGTTCTGGAGCAGGGAGCCGCTCTGGAGCAGGAAGCCGCTCTGGTGCAGGGAGCTGTTCTGGTGCAGGGGACTGTTCTGGAGCAGGGGGCTGCTCTGGAGCAGGGGGCTGTTCTTGAGTAGGGGGCTGATCTGGAGCAGGGAGCCGCACTGGAGCAGGGAGCTGTTCTTGAGTGGGGAGCTGTTCTGGAGCAGGGGGCTGATCTGGAGCAGGGAGCCGCTCTGGAGCAGGGGGCTGTTCTTGAGCAGGGAGCCGCTCTGGAGCAGGGGGCTGTTCTTGAGTAGGGGGCTGTTCTGGAGCAGGGAGCCGCTCTGGAGCAGGGGGCTGTTCTGGAGCAGGGGGCTGTTCCATAGCAGGGGGCTGTTCTGGAGCAGGGAGCCGCTCTGGAGCAAGGAGCATCCCCCGCTCGCTCGCCGCAGCCCGGGACGCGCGGCCGAGCCCGGCGGGACGGGCACGGCGCTGTCCAAGGTGCTGATCGTGGCTGGCAGAACATACGCGGCCGGGCAGCGTTCACAGGGAAAGGAAATTTCAGAGATTGCACAGAACATTCTGCGTTGGAAGGGACACACAAGGGTCATCGAGTCCAGCTCTTATATGGATGGTCCATACAGGGTTTAAGCCACGACCTTGGCGTTAGCAACACTATGGTCTGACGGCTGAGCCAATGGCAGGGTCAGGTATACCTTATTGCCACTATGGCTGTAGCGGGAAACAAATTACCTTTCAGATGAACAAGACATTTTATATTCTTCCAGCAAGGTATTTCACAAGAGTTTGGCTGTTTTGCCTTAGCTGCATGTAGTAGGTTTTATATCTTTCCTACGATGTTCTATATATTCCTACATATACATCACTGCAAATTATGTTTCATTAGTATACAGTGACACAGGTACATCACATAGTTCATACAGCGACACAAGCGACACAGGTACATCACCTCCTTAAATGAAATACCATAAATGGCATTTTTATGTCTCACAGTGCATACCTATAAGGAAACATACTTCTTAGCATATTGCAAATATATTTACAATGTATCTCATGTTGTGCTAAATGCAACAAGGCTTAGAGAAGTGATTTCTTAAACAAATGCTCTTGGAACAGCTAATTCCAGAGCACACAAGATGAGGGATTATTCTCTGTTAAATCCTAAGTAATACACAGTAGCTTGTTCAAGTAGTAATTATATAATATGAAAGCGATGAACAACAGTGACAACATTAATTTCGGCATTCTTCAGGATTAAAAGGTCCCAGTCTATTATGGGAACACAATGTCTGAAAATAATATTGTGCAAAACAAAGAAACCTACTTAAGAGAGAGTAATAAGAATTGCCTGCTACCATTTAACAGCACTGAGGCAAACATGCAGGATCACAAAGGCCTGTTTGAAGTTGAGGAAAAAAGACAGCATTGCAAAATCCAACACTAGGTGAGTTAATTCTCCTTCAGAAAATGAAAGGTGAATTAGGTATTTTATACCATGTCAGCAATATACTAGATGTAAATTAATATATTTTTTAAATAACTAAGATACTTTATTAAGTTAACAACAGAAATTTTTTGTAAGAGTAACATTAGAAACAAGAAGGCTTGACATAATCAGTAGGTCTACTGCATATCAAAAAGCAAAGGAATGAATTAAGGATAAGAAAATGGCACAGAAAAAGTTAGTAATTTCTTCACGTCTCATCTCAACACAGAAGAGTCTGGGAAATACAGGACAGGAGCACGTACAGGGTATAGTCACATAAGGATGATTCTTTATTACAAGGTGTTGGAAAATGATGAGCTAAAGAGCATTAAGCCATGAGTACATTATACTGTACTTCCAAAAATTCTGACAATTTAAAAATGGTATAGCTGACATGCTTTGAAGAGAAACATGCAACTGCTTTTTAAAATCATGTGCTATGTCAAAGCATCATCCAATTCTGTAACCATTTTAAAAACAAGTTCTATTATAAACTTGGTAACTACAAATCCATATTTTATTTTGGTACTGATTGATGAACTCTACTTAATGGTTGACATTAAAATATAATAATTATATGTGTATAAAATTAAATATTACAGACATTATTTTTTTTCTCTTTCTGCAAGTTAAATTACATCTTGATAATTATAGGAATTGTATTAATTTGGTACACATTCATGCTAGGCACTGGAAGAAACAGGCAACCTATTGAAAATACAATGAACATATCACAATACAGACAGCAACCAAGGCCACAATACATTTATTCACAGAAAATTAATTTAGAAATGTCATTAGGTAATGATTTCCCAACTTAGGTGTGGCATAGGGATGAATAAGATAAAAACATTATTGAAATTAAATTAACCCATAATTAATATAGAAAGCAATAATTTCTGGGCATTTGGAAGTGATGCAGGTTTATACCTGTTTTAAATCCTTTCTTTACAACCCCAAAATGTATTGTTAATCTTGTTTGGTGAATGAATCAAAATTTCAGCTAGATGATGATAATCACTAGGTTAAAACTGTGAGGTCAAGCTGACTTCCTTTTATACAGTAGTTGACAAGGTTTTCAAAATACTGTGCACAGCACTGACTCTGCAAAAGGTCTCAAAAAGACTAGCTGTCAAAAGGAATAATGAAATATCTTAGCCATAAGTCTATATAGTATCGACATAGCATCAACATACAATACTGCAGGTTTGTCAAATACAACATAATTTACCATAAATGATACAAATTTTCAGAAGAACTGAAGGAAACAAAATATTTAAACATTAAATAAAGTAACAGTGTTAACACTTGTAATGGCAAAAATCTTAAAAAGTAACATAATACTATTAAGCAGTGGAATGCAGACCTTGAATTGACTAATTTCATTATATGAC